ATATATATATACATACACATATATATATATACATGCACATATATATATATATATATATATATACATACATATATATATATACATATAAATATATACATATACATATCCATACATATATATACACATATATACATATATATGTATATATATACATACATATATCTATATATATACACACTTTACATATATATACATACCAATATATATATACATACATATATATATACATGCATACATACATACATATATATATATATATATATATATACATACAAAATATATATACATACATATATATATATATATATATATATATATATATATATCGATCTTACTTAAAATGTAAAATAGTATGAGAATTTAAAATTAAATTAGATTATTTAAATTAATTCTTAATTAATGGACAAATTGGAATATTAACGCCAGCGCGTTTCGTGAATGCATGTTCTGTTTGGCGTGTTTAAGTCGGAATGAAATGCAATACTGTGTGTAAGAAAATTCCTTGGTATTTTTTATGTTGAGTCTGACAATAAATGAAATTATGTTGTCAGATCTGAGGATAAGAAAATGTTTATTTTTATATTAAACCGTTGGTACTTACTGAAATTAGCCCTCTTTTTTCTCTATTACCTTGTATAACCGCATTGTGTTACTGTTGCTATTTGAGATGACATAAAGTATGTCCCAGGTCTAAGGCTTATTGCTGATAATTCTGATATAATAACACCATATACTCGAGATACCGGGTGTAACAGCAAATCGTGTAGTTGTAAAATTATCCAATTGGTAGATTCATCGTTGAGCTGCTGTATCCTCGAAATGATTAAAGATATATTACTGGAATTTTCCGAGGTTTTGTAACACTATTGCACCCTACTTTGAACAATAAGAATGAATAATTTCTCTCCAAGCTTATTAGAATTATCGTGATGAAATCGATCATAAACGAAAATGACATGTTCATCATTAATTAATCATGATTAAGGGTCAGATGCTCATGAAGGATTGAAATAAAGTTCAAAATATTCATATATATATATATATATATATATATATATATATATATATATATATATTCGACCATATTTGTCATACTCCTCCTCCACTCTCTCTTTATCACCTTACATCAACTTAAAACTACCCCTCAAAAGTGTATAAAAAATATATGTAAATTTAAAACATTGGAAGTGTGCTCTGATAAACCAGGTGAAAACCACATACCTGGGGAAATAAATAAGAACCAGTTGACCCTTAAGGTTGTCTGTTTCTATTTAAATTGAATTAATAATTGTCTGTTTCTATTTAAATTGAATTAATAATTGTTCGGATTTGACATTGAGCTCTCTGGATTACACCCTCCTATATATATATATATATATGTGGCACCCTGCATTATTAGAAAAACTAAAAAGAAATATTCCTAGAAATATGATTTAATTTTTATTCGGTTTATTAACCAGTTGTTAGTTATTTAGACGAAGAATAATTGAGTTTTGAGAATAATTCTCTAATTGTATTTAGGCGACACTAAGGGAAGAAGAAGGGAAAAAGAAAAAGAAAAAGAAGAAAAGAAAAGGAGAGGATGGGTAATGCAAAAAGCCGGTCATTAGCGAAAACAGGTGTCAAGAGATATCTAGGCCAACGCGCCTGACCGAATTTCAAGAACAATGGAAATTGTTATTTGGAAGAATAGAATTAGAGGTAATTAAAAGAAAGAAAGAAAACAGACTTGGTAAAAGTGTATGAACATACGTACGATTGATGAAAATGTCGGTCAAAACATCTGGCCTACTTTTGTGTAGAAGACTCATTATCAATTTGGAGAAATGGGATTTTTAGAACAATGGAAAACGAAATATTAATCGGAGAAGGGTGTCTTTTGGGATGAGAAGGTGACCGCTGGAATTGTATACAGATTCTGACCTGTTGAAAATTAGAACCCCCACGATGATGAAGTGAAGACATTTTCAATTCAGATAATTAAGATTTTTGACTATCAGGTCTGTGCAAAAACAAAGAGGTGAAAACAATTGTTTTGGCTCACAGAAAGCGCCAGCGAGACGAGAAAAATTCTTCCTGAAGTCATATCTAATTAACGGCGGGCTGTTTTGACAAAAGCCAAAAGGTGAGAAAGGCCGAGATTGTCATTTTTCGTGCGTGCGAAAAAGGCCAAATTGGATTTTGTTTTTTTTAGCAAGGTATCTCTTTCCCAGAACAAAGCCGGGATAGGCAACGCCCGATTGGAGACGTCACGAAGGACGGGAGACGCCCAACCAGAATCTCATTAGCCGAAAGCGGTCACGTGATATGCGAGAAAGAGGAGAAAGGACGCTCGACCAGGACCCATTGGTCGAAAACGGTCACCTGACATACGAGAGACCGGGAGAGATGGGTATGCGCCTCCCCCCCAGAGGCACTGTGAGGAAGTAGGGGTGAAAATAAGAGCGATAATGGGAAATCAGAAATAATGCGACTTTTGGAATTATCAAGAAACCCTGACGCCGACAGACCCACCCCAGTTTGTTGCGGCGTCAATAAAAGCAGAACCCCAATCGACAGAAATCAGTTCCCCGGACGGCAGCGAGAAGAGTTCACTTCCTCAGACGGCAGAGAGAAGAGTTCGGACCTTGGCGAGAAGAGTTGCAGGGCGGAAGAAGAAGTTACTTGCAGTTACGCATAGAAGAAGTTGAAATCAAACCAAACCCAAGAACAGAGATTCGTCCAGCCCAAATCGAAGTGAAGAAATTCGTCCAACTCAATCCGAAGTGAATAAGCTCGTCCAACTCAAGCCGCAGAGAAGAATCAGCCGTGAACGACTGGTAGAGATTAGCGCCCAGTGTCGAAACCAAACCACACTCCGACATACAGAATTCTAGAGAGTAGGCAACTCGAAGTCTTTAAGTTGTATGGTGGAAGCTTGGTGCCACAATCCACAAAGCGGGTCGGGAAGTAAGAATAATTTTTATGTAACGAACATTAGATATAAAAGGTTGTTACCCTTTTTTATCAGTAATTTTTGGCCTCGTGAGTTTTTCTTTTACTTGTGTGTTGCCACCCCCGTCGAACTCAACTTGCATACGGCCCCAATCCCTGTTTGATCCTGTCTGTCTAAGATCTAATCACAACGTGGGTAGGCAGACCGGAGATCAGTACAGTTACCCTAGTAACCAGGTGTTGGAAGCGAGTTGGGAACGGCGAGGCTGGTGATCATCTAACCAAAGGGTTGGAACGTCACACTTGGAGCAGCGAGGAGCGAACAGCTGACGCCGCGGCAAAAACGTCACGTCACAGTTGGAGCCGCGAACGAGATCGAACGACAGAGTCGACGCTGCGACCAGGAGGAGCGATGTCACAGTTGGCGCCGTGACCAAAGGATTCGACCCTGGACCAAGTGACGTCACATATATATATATATATATATATATATATATATATATATA